CAGTTTGATGGAAGTGTTTTGGATTGTGTGTGAAAACCCCACACTGTACCCTAGAAGTGCATTAATGTACATAGTTACTATTCAATTAAAAAAAAATTAAAAAAAAAGGTTGGTGTCTTTGTGGAACTACATTTTAAAGGGGAAACAAATACATACAGAACTTAGTGGTAAGTACAAAGGAAAAGATAGAGGCAGGGAAAGGAAAGTGTTGAAGGAAGGTCTCTGTGAATGAGGGCCTGGGGGAAGTGGTGAAGAAGGGGGTTATGGGGATGTGGGGGAGGGAAGCTTCCAGGCAGAGGGGAGGATGGTAAGTACGGAGATACCAGTTTTGAATAGGATGAGAGGTGAGCAAGGCTGGAGTAGAGTGAACACAGGCACCTAAGGGGACACCTTAAGACAGTTACAAGGGGTAGGTCTTGGAGCAGCCTTCGTAGGACTTGGGCTTCTCTGCCAAGTGCACTGAGGAACCCAGGTGGAGAGGTCATGTAGACATCTGGGCATAAGGGTCTCAAGATAGGTCTGAACTGAAGGTAGTAATTTGGGGGTGAACACTGTAGCTGGTGAAAGGTGACCAGGAGGGTGGGTTACATCAGTGATGGAGTGAGTCTTCAGAATGGCATCTCAGGGCACCAAGTGTTGGTGTTAAGAAAACTGGGTGGCTCAGTGAGGTGGGAAGAAACCTGCCAGCAGGTCTCAGAAGCCAAGTGAAGGGAGTGCTTCAGGCAGAGGAAGTGGGGAACTTACCCTTACCTTCGGAGGGGTACGTGTACATCATATTTGTACATTTCTTCTAGGAAAGAGACAGAATTAAAGATGCAGATGCAAGAGAGAATTGCAGGACCCAGTTCTGAGTGGTGGGAGGAGGGTCCATGCCCCAGCACTCTGCACAGTGACAGAACGAGTGGCAGTAGCACGTGGGTGCAGATGCGTGGAGTGGGTGGTTCTGGGCCGGGACTTGGTGAAGGTTTCTTCTCCATTGCTACATTTTCTTTGTGATGAAATAGGAAGCAGCTGAGATAGAGACGGGACCTGTTGGGGAGTGGAGGTAAGGCTAGAGGACATGCAGCAGTTACTGAGAGATGTGGGGGAAAGTGCCCCCACTAGGTGGGAGCCTGCTTCTCCACATGGGGGTCCCCAAGGTGGTTTTGAGAATTTTGCAAGGTCAGAGTAATTTTCATGATAATACTGAGACTATTTTTTGCCTTTTCCACTCTCATTCTCCTAACATCTGTATCTGGAGTTTTCCAGATGTGTGATCTTTCAACAGCAAGGATGCTTGCGACTCTGCTGTCTTTTAAGGAAGACTTTGCAAAATCATTAAAACAATGCCACTGTTGTCATTAATTTTTTGTTTTGGAAATACAGTGAATTTTTCGTAAAGTTACTTAGGTTACCATGTAATTGATTTACTTTTAAATGAAATATTTTTAAAATTAAATATCAATAGATATGACCCACATAAAAGTTCTTTGGGGGGGATCTGTAATAATTTTTTAGTGTAAATGGGTTCTGGAGACAACTTTGAGAACTGCTAGACTACAGAAATGTAGTATGCCTCTCTGGCAGAGTCTCAAAGAAGAATGTGAATGGAGATGGGAAGAGGAACAACTGAGAGTAGCTGGGTTTGAGCCTGGCAGATAGTGACTCCACTCATTGAATAATAAAGTGAAGGACAGAGCTGTTTGGGGATGGAGGAGTGTGACTTGGCAAAGGTGTGATGAGATGGGGAGGCATCCATGGAACCAGAGCCTGGTTGGGGAGGCATCCTCTGAGAGCATGCAACTGAAAGTATGGGAATGGGGGTGCTGGGGAAAGAGGAGGGGAGTGACACCCAAGTTGGGGGAGTGCCCATGTAGACAGCAGAGTCAAGGAGAAAGGAGAAATTGTTGAGGAAAAGCCAACGCTGGCAGGGAGAGCCCTTGTAGTCAGATGCCACAGCGGTGATTCTGAGCGTCACTGTGAGATTCATGCCTTTTGGCCGCCAGGCTCATTAACAAGTTATCGTCATTTAGAAAATGCCATTAACTGATGTACATTTATTAACTTTAAACTATTTTATAGTGCAGCAGCAGTTGAATGAAATGCATAAATACCTTTCTAGTCACTATGATGGCTCATTAGGGCTCTGACTTTGGCATTGTTGAGGAAGCACGTGGTTTCTTTGTGTCACACTGCTTTTAGTTTAGCAGCTTATTTAAACTGGTTTTTATAAACATTCCTTACTACTGACATTTCTCTTGTTTCTTTCAGTAACTTGGATCCACTTACAGAAACTGTATCCTTTTTTAAAAAAAATTGAATGAAGATTTACTAAGACTAAAGAAAATGGGGAAACAAGGAAAAAACAGACTGGAATGCTGAAAATTTTAAAAACCTATAGGCCAGGAAATAACATAAATAACTCTGAAAGCAATAAAAAAAAACAACAGGGGTGGCGCCTGTAGCTCAAAGGAGTAGGGTGCTGGCTCCATATGCCAGAGGTAGTGTGTTCAAACCCCGCCTCCCCCCCCAAAAACAAAACAAAACAAAAACTGAGAGCAAGAGTTGTCGTAAATCTGCCTGACAAATGGTTAACATAATGATCTCATATCAAACTACAGCATTACAACTCCCCACCCACCTTGCCCTGAGGGGTGAGCATGGCTGTGGCTTATCTCTCTGTGATAAGAACAGAGTCTGCAGATGAACAGTCCCCGGCAAGCCATAGTTCCATGGAGTCACCAGCGACTGTGCTCTGTGTGGTTTAACCAGGGTGGCTGCCAGAGCAGACAGCATCCTATCCATGTTCCCGGCAGTAGAATCCATAGAGGGGAAGGCCAAAATGTCCTTCTCTTTCAAGAGTACCTTTGGGAAGTACCACAGCCCTCCTTTGTGTCATCTCCCTGCACCTACCAGTCTAGTCCTGTCTACAGTCTAGACATGTCCAGCCTTTAAACTGGGATTTGCTACTAAGATGAATAAAGGATTTTGGGTAACAATTAGCAGTCTCCATTATGCTGCTAGGAGAAAGTGGACAAAGATGTGTAGTGATAGGGGACTCAGATTATGCTGCTGTAACAGTAACCCCGTATCTTCAGCGGCTTAAAACATCAGGTTTGATTTCTGGGTTATGCTCCATTGCTATTGCAAGTGGGTAGGAGAATTCTATTAACTGACAGTTTACCAAAAGAGAAAGATAAACTCACTGCTGATGATGGTAAGGGGAAAGAAACAGTCCCATAAAATGCTAGTGTCAGTAGAAACTGCTACTGTCTTTCTGGAAGGCACTTTGGAAATGTAATACTCAGTAATTCCATTTCCTCAAAGCTAAGAATAAGAAATAGAGGCAGTATATATCAGGGGTTGGTGAACTAAAGCCTGTGGGCCAAATCTGGCCCACTGTGTTTTCATAAATTAAATTTTATTGGGATACATCTGTGCTGGTTAATTTATAATGGAACCTCCACAGTTGACCACCTCCTACATCAGCTGCCTCCTTAACTTTCATAGACTGGACATGCACCACATGTACTCAGTATATAGTAGGCCTGGTTCCTTATGTTGATGGCCTCTGTATGTGGAGGCCCTTGGTCAGTCAACTTACAGAGTTTCTATTGCATATTTTGTCTGCGGCTTTCATAGTTGGAGTAATTGAAACAGAAACTATAGGATTCAGGAAGCCAAGCATGTTTATTATCTGGCCTTTTACAGATACAGTTTGCTAACCCCTGAGTCACATCATTACAAACATTATTATAAGAGAATTATAGTATTAAAAATATAGAGTGACATTCATATGCAGTAAAGAAATGGGTAAATTAAGTAAAAGCTTTTAGAGAAAATAGAAATGACCCAGATGTCCAACATCAGGAGATAGGCTATTTAAATTATTTTACACAAGGCAATACTATACAGCAGTAAAAATTAACTATAGGTACAGGCAATAATAGGACTACATATCAGAAAGCTGAATAGAAAAGGCAAAAAAAACTCTAAAGTTTTCATTTGTATTTTAAAAATTATGACTGATTAAAGATATCAGCATTAAGAGTTTTGAATTTCAAATGACACAGAAAAGTTTTCCCTGTATGGTAAGGGAAAATTAGAATGCAAATCAACTTACATTGTGTAATTCTGATGACATTTAAAATTCATAGTAAAAGTCCGTAATCCAGGAGAGTCCATATCACCTGTTAGGTCCTTGAGGAGAGGTGGATAAGACTGTCTTGGGCTCTTCCATTAGCCAGAGGAGAGATGGTTCCTATGTGCATTAGTGGCTGGCTGGCCTACCATGTTAAGGCTTGTATTTGAGAAGTACTGAAAATAATGACTGGCAGAAGAGATTTTGAAGAATTTAACACTGGATGGGTTTTCCAGGAACTCTTTTTAAAAATGTGTGATTAATGGTGTGATATCAAAATCGCATCAGAAAGCTTCACTAAGAAGAAATACAGGTATGAGCACATCTAAGAACATCTTCCACTTGAAGAGTTAAGTCGTGAGCAAAGGACTTAGGTATTTACTCCAAATATACTTGATTCCTTAGGTGAGCTTTTGTCTGCATTAATAGAAATGGAGAATTTGGCTCGGTGCCTGTGGCTCAAGCGGCTAAGGCGCCAGCCACATACACCTAAGGTGGCGGGTTCGAATCCCCAGCCTGGGCCCGCCAAACAACAATGACGGCTGCAACTAAAAAATGGCCGGGCGTTGTGGCGGGCGCCTGTAGTCCTAGCTACTTGGGAGGCTGAGGCAGGAGACTCGCTTGGGCCCAGGAGTTGGAGGTTGCTATGAGCTGTGATGCCATGGCACTCTACCCAGGGGGACAGCTTGAGGCTCCGTCTCAAAAAAAAAAAAAAAAAAAAAAGAAATGGAGAATTTGAATCAATGGAGAGAAAAAACTGGGTAATTGCTAAGTTGCCCCTGGAAGGACTTTAAGTTGTAAAGTTACTTGCACAGTCTTAACAGCTAAAGCCAAAGTTTGGAACTAGCCATTTTTCCAATGCAATTCTGGAAGCATAAATGTACTAAGCATCCTCTATGCGCCAACACCAGGGATGGAGTGTGACCTTCATCATCTAAGGAGAGGCAGACCCTGAATAAGTAACAGCAGCAGGTGATAGAAACATAGAGATTTAGTTACAGTGTGATCAGGAGTGAAATGGGTTATAGAACTTTGGAGTCCTGATTCTCTGCTTTCTGTTAGATGGTGCTGACTCCACTCCACATTTTGACGTTGTATTTATCCAGGCAATTTTAAAAATCAATGCCAACCTCAGTATATTTCAAGTCATACTTAGAACTGGGGATAAAGTAGCAATATGCTTTTTAAAGGAAACTTTTTTCGAAATATCCCTTTAATAAAGAACATTTTACTGTCCATTACTTTTACTCTCCTTAACGAGACTCTAGTATGGGATTCCCTTTTACTTACAGTACCTTGCCCACTGGCCAGAGTATTTTATTGTTGCAGAGGCACCTGGTGGAGAATTGATGGGTTATAGTAAGTATAATACCAGTAGTGTCTTGGGGGCTAGTTAAAACTTTGATTAGGTTTCAACCTGATTATTTGAGACTGCAGAATTGGAATATGATCATGAAGACTGTAATTTTATTTCCTTTTCAACCATTTGACAACTCACTGATCTCTGCTATGTTTTAGGCATCGTGCTAGGCCCAGGGGATGCAGCAGTGAACCAGGCAGACATGGTCTCAGTCTTCTTAGATCTTTCACTCTACACTAAATTTCTACATTTTACTTGGCACATAATGCAGGGATTGTAGCATCTTCATTGAATTAGTAGCATTACTAATGCAAATTCAAGCTGTGAACTGGTCTCAGTTTTATGTATACATACATTGTGACATGAAATGTAGATACCTGAAAAAAATAAATGCCCTGGTTCTTTGCTCAAAATTAGTTGTGTTTTAGTATGTCATTCTTTTTTTAAAAAAAAACTATTTCTAATTCTGATTCTAGAAAAACTTCTAATTTTAAAACTGCATGCTACATTTACAAGTTTCTAATAAAAGCACTAATCATCAGCTAGACTACCTCATTAAAAATTAGAACTTGTCGTCATTAGTTTCCTTTATAATAAAAATATACCACACAGTAATTCTTGATGTGTAAATCGGAGTGTCTAATTACTCAGTGTGATTTGTTGTTGTTTACAGTTATGGGTAAAGCAGAAGGCTCAGTAGCCAGAGAAGAATGGCACGGACACGTCACAGCTCTGTCAGTTGCCCCAGAATTTCGACGTCTTGGTTTGGCTGCTAAACTTATGGAGTTATTAGAGGAGATTTCAGAAAGGTGAGATCCTGCTTTTCTTTTCTTTTTTTTTTTTTTCTTTTTGAGACAGAGCCTCAAGCTGTCCCCCTGGGTAGAGTGCCGTGGCATTATAGCTCACAGCAACCTCCAACCCCTGGGCTCAAGCGAGTCTCCTGCCTCTGCCTCCCAAGTAGCTGGGACCACAGGCGCCTGCCACAACGCCCGGCTATTTTTTTTTTTTTGGTTGCAGCCATTGTTGTTTTGGCGGGTCCAGGCTGGGGATTCGAACCCGCCACCTTAGATGTATGTGGCTGGCGCCTTAGCCAGTTGAGCTATAGGCGCCGAGCCGAGATCCTGCTTTTCACATATACTTGTTGATTTATGTACCCCTAACCCTTTCATTTTTCTCTCATGAACATAAGATTTTTTTCTCTCTTGGGGAACAACTATCATGTTTAGGTTTACAGGAATTTCATTTTCAGTCTCCAGTAGTCCTTACAACAGTTCTGTGACATATTTAGAGTGGTATTATTTTTGCCTTTGAGGAAAATTAAGGCAAAGTGATGGATACCTGTAATAGGCCTGTAAGTTGGGTGACTGGTGGGCTCAAACACTAGCTCTGAAAGTTTCTGTCTTGCCATTATAGCATACATTCCCAAATTCTCTGCTAACTCTGTGTTGGCATCTGAGTAAACTTTTAGTGCTCCTAAGCCCAAAGAAAATAGTCTTATGTAGAGATGTTTTAACTGTTTAATAAGTATTTAGTCTAAAAACTAGTAGTCCTTTAGAAATACATGAATAAATTGAAGGAAAAACATTATTTCATTCTTAAACAACTATGGTTATCTACTAATAAGATGTGTACTCCTGTTGGGCACTGAATGACTTCTTAGACCTGGAGACATTCAGCACAGCCGCCTGTACTGCTGTTTCATAGTAATTTCATGTGGTACTGGTTTTTTTTAATCACAGCAACTGCCAGAAACCCAGCTTTATAAAAATAAAAATGTCATTAAAAGGAATGTAGTATGATCTAATGTTGAATTTGTGAACCATTTCAAACTAGTCACTTTGCCAGTATCAGACATGTAAGTTTTTGCTGTTTCCCCCAAACATTTGAAATATCCCAGGTTACCTGTGCTGAGTTTGGGGCACCTTGGGGTGCCTCAGTGCAGTCTGGGAACTGTCAACATTACAGTGTTTTTTAAAAAAAGAAAAGACCTGTTGCATATAGCAAACACCCTCACTATATTGTGAGATAAAAGTGATACAATAATTAAAAGAGAAAGCTCCTCTCCCATTTGAGAAGAAATGAGAGATGTATGTGTATAAGCTTGATTGTCAGGCTGCCGTATCTTTCTCCACTGTAAACACCAAAAAGTATAGTAGGAAGGAGAATAATAGTTGAAAAAACGGGCTCTTGGGCTTACTTTTCACTTAATTGTTAGATTTATTAAAGGAGTAACTTGTAGCTTGACAAATGGTCTTAGCTAAGTTAGAGAAGAGAAGAAATTGAAGTTAACTCTAGTCTTGAAGACTTTTTAAGTTCTCTCTAGATTTGACGAGGAAGGGAAGAACATTTTTAGCAAGATTATAATGAAACCTTGTTGAAAATAAGTATTTGGCTTTATTGTATAGTGAATAGGGAGTTCAGAAATGGGTTCTAACTAGCTATAACCTTGTGCATGTGATTTAATTTATAACAAGCTTCTCTGTCTCTTTAAGTCAAAAACCACTAAGTTCCCTTCCCTTCAGTTTCTAAACCTTCATTATTTTAGAATAGTTGCTAAGATTTAAGTAAATATATACATTAAAAATATTAATTATATATAATTTCCAAACAAGTAGAGGAGGAAAAAAAAATCAAATAATGAAATTAATCCCAAAGAAGAGAAAAAGAAAATTAAACTGGCAAAGCAAAACACGAAACAAGATGGTAACTATAAATCCAACTATTGTCAGTAATTACACAGTAAATATTAATGGGCTGGTAATTCCAGTGGAAAGGTAAAAATTTTCAGAAGCATATTCTATTTATAGGAAATAGATATAAAGATTAAAATACAGGAAGACTGAAAGGAAATTTTAAATTACTGTGCAAACTCTAACCAAAAGTTAGCATACTTATATTATATTAATAATAGTTACATTATAATTAAGTATTACCATTTTTTAAAAAGGCCACTATCCCACTATTAGGCATCTACTCAGAAGAAAGAAAATGATTTTATCATAAAGACATTCGGATTAGATTGTTTATCGCAGCTCAATTTACAATCACCAAGATTTGGTAACAACCTAAATGGCCATCAACTCAGGAATAGATTAACAAACTGTGGTATATGTATAACATGTAATACTATTCAGATGTAAAGAAGATGATAACTGATTTACATCTTTTGCATGAACCTGGATGGAGTTGACACACATTTTTCTCAGTAAATTATCACAGAATGGAAAAGCAAATATCCAACGTACTCAATGTGAAGCCAGTAGATGATCTAATTCATGCCCACATAGGAGAAAAAATTCAAGTTGGGGGAGGGCAAAGAAGGGGGGCTTGGTGTGTTCCCATTTAATGGGTACAATGTGCCCAAATTTGGGTACAGGACACAGCTACAAGAGGGACTCTACCTAACAAATTCAAATATTGTGACCTGGTTGTTTGTACCCTCACATTAACCTGAAACTTAAAAAAGGGTCATTGCATATTGATAAAAATTTTACTCCATATGTATACTAATGGAATACTACTCAGCCATGATAAAGGATAAATTAAGGCCTTTTGCAAGAATTTGGATGGAACTGGAGACCATTATCCTATGTGAAGCATTTAAAGGATGGAAAAACCAACATTTATGCTTGCTATTAACTGCAACTACCCAGTGAGCACACGTGCACAGGGAAGTACAACAACAGAAACCAAGCATGGGGCAACAGGTTCCGTGAACACTATCTGGGTGACAGGTGCACTTAGAACTCTGACTCAGGCATAACAGAATCAACACATGTAACCTAAAATATCTGTACCCCTATAGTATTTTGGGAAAAAAAAATTTACTCCATCAAGGTGTAACAATTAAAAATTTTATGTACCCAGTGACATAGATTCAAAGTAAAAATATAAAAATGGTCAAAACTATAAGAAATAGGTCATTATCATAATGGGAGATTTGAACATGCTTTCTAATTGATAAAATTGCAAATTGGTGATTAGCATAGAACAAAGGTCAATACATTTTTTCTAGATCAAATAGTAAATATTTAGGTTTTACAAGCCAGCTAAGGCGTTCTGCAATTTATTTTCCTTCTTTGAAACCTTCAAAGTTGCAAAAAATCATTCGTAGTTTGAGGACAATACTAAAACAAGTTGCAAGCCAATCCCTGCTCTTCCCACAAAGCTATAGAACAGAATCTGAGAATCACCCAAGAATACATGGATTTTAACATATGCGGGAGACACTGCAAATCAGTACATTTTTCAGTTAAGGTGGTGGGACAACTGGAAATCCACATGGGAAGAAACATCCCAAATTTGTTAAAAATCTCTATGTGAAAAGCAAAACTAAAAAATACAGGAGAGTGTCTCCATGACCTCTTAAACAAGCTTGCAAAGGGCTAACGGTAAAGACTCACTATTCAACTTCCCAGAAGTGAAGTAACTTTGTCATCAAAAGATACTATAAAGATAATGAGGAGACAAACCGCAAATTGAAAGAGCAAATTTGCAAAACCCTCCCACAATGTTACATATCCAGAATACACAGAGAACTACAGCTAGGGGGGAAACTGTAAAAGATTAATAAAACTATAAGAAATGTAAGCGGCAAATATCCTATGGGAATGGAGTGTTAACTATTTCTCTGAGAGTGTAAGTTGGTTGGAAACAGTTAAGTTGAAGCTGTGCATACCCTGTGACACAGCAGTGGCACTCACAGCCAGACCTGGGTTACTATCCCATGAGACACTCAGACATATTTACGGCAGCATAGTTTCTAACAGTAAAAACTGGACATGTTTATCTGAAGGACTGCGGATGGCTGTATTGCTGAATGTGCAACAAAATGCTAAACACAGTGAAGAGGGGCAAGCTCCAGCCACGTGAGGCTGACTCCACCAACACTGACTGCCAGAGGCCAATCACAGAACATACCACGGATCATTCCATTAGAGTTCATAAGCAGGAGAAACTAGAACAGGCAGTGATCTACAGTGGAAAGCAGGAGTTAATATTGTAGTCTCCACAGTCAAGGCACGGGAGGCTTCGGGGTGAGTGACGGGATGCTAGTGACCAGAGGGACCTAAGAGCTTCAGCATAACAGTTGTCCTGTAGCCACACTTGGACCACTGCCCCATGGGTGCCTGTTTTATAATCTCCTGTTTGTACATGTGGGTGAAAAAACTACGCTATGACTACCTAGAAAATGAACACATCAATTACTATGACATAAAATATATAGGAATTCAGGAATTTGAGCCAGGTAGCAGAATTGTTTTTTAAAAAAAGTTTTTTTTGAATTTATCTGTTAAAAAAACATGTATCGTAGCTTTTGAAATACTGATACAGGCATGCAAACACAAGAGTCCTGTTTCTGTACTTTGAAAAAACTGTCAAATTCTAATTAGTAAAAATTGCCAAGTAAAGCTTCATGGTCCTATTTCCATAAGCTTTGAGTAGTGGTCAAAGCCAAGTAAGAACAAGTGTTATTTTAAAAAATATATTTCTATTACTGTTTTTGGTTTCTCATATTCTAACATTTTCTTTCTCTCTTTTTTTTTTTTTAAAGAAAGGGTGGGTTTTTTGTTGATCTCTTTGTAAGAGTATCTAACCAAGTTGCAGTCAACATGTACAAGCAGCTGGGCTACAGCGTGTATAGGACAGTCATAGAATACTACTCAGCCAGCAACGGGGAGCCCGATGAGGATGCTTATGGTAAGCTCCCTGACATGGCACTATCCCCAAGAGGAAGCAGGAGTAGTTACATAAATACTTAAAAGAATCACATTTGGCCTTAATACTTAAATCTTCTTTAAAACTGCCTTTATGAACCTATTAGTCATTATCTTATTTTCTGTAAATTATTGTCTTACTATGCCACAATAAGAAAGAGCATTTGCCTTATGAGCTGAATCCTGGGGAGGGTTTGGTTAGTATCTGGTATACTTGCAATTCGGACATTTATTTATAAATATATTTTGCTTAAAAGCCTGGTGGAAGTAGGGGTAGGGAATAAAACCTCTTCTCAGAACCTTTCCTACGGACTTTAGATTTGAATGAAATGCTTTGGTATTTGGTTGTTTACATTTAAAGTTTGCTTCCTTGCAGATATGAGGAAGGCACTTTCCAGGGACACAGAGAAGAAATCCATCATCCCGTTACCTCATCCTGTGAGGCCTGAAGACATCGAATAACCCTGGGCAGTGGTTCTCAGGCAGATGCTCCAAATGTTACGTGGACAATATTATTTTCATTGGGTGATCTTGGAGTTCTACTGGAGAAAAATAATTTAGGTCTGAAAGACTTGAAGAAAATACAGGCTATCAACTTATTTTAAATTTCATTGTTTCCAGTTAGCAATATCATACCTATTAAAGCTGTTCTCTGTAATAAAATTCAATCAAAAAGGCAGCTGAGTCAGAAGGAAGCATATCATAGTTCATAACATTCACTGTGTCATAGGGAAAAGAATTGCTCCAATCTCCTGCTAAATTTTGTGCCTGAGAACCACTGCTGCATATATATATATATATTTTTAATTTTGTATTGAACTATAATTGAAGCTTTAAAAGCATATATGAAATGTATAAATCTAAGATGTATAATGAAATACACTGTCGACTCTATGAATGTTTTCTGGAAGTTCATTTATAAAACTAAATCAGGATTGTGAAACGTGATTTTTATATATAGTATTTTTAAATGCATGCTCAAAACAATCTCTGCCAGCATACTCAAGCTTCCTTCTTACTGTGCAGTCCGTTCTTCCCAGTTACTTGTTCTTATACTGTAAGTCCTGGATCTTTTCTCTTCTTACAGTATTTTGCTTAAATCCTCTCTAAATAGAAAAAGATGCTGAGGAAAATGAACCTAATTCCTAAAGGACGGACATACAGCTCTGTCGCAGGCCAACCACATATTTCCCTATGGAGTTTTTATCACCTGTAGTATCTGAAAATACCCAGTAAGTAAAATATGTAACTAAAGAAAAATCCACAGGAAATGATTATTAAAAAGCTTTTACTATGGAAGGGACTTACTTTGATGGAATTGAGGGTAGGAGAGCAGTGAATCATTTTCTCACGAGACAATTAACTTTTTCCTTCAAGCATCTCACACTAGTACTTAACTGTAACACTACATTGAGAACACCACTAATCTTTGCCTTATGTATACACGCGACAAAAACAGAAGAGGTCATTCTAGAAAGACTGTAAATTGTCTTTTGTATTAACTTTCTGTCCTCTTTTAATTTCCCCTTAACTCTGGACTATCTAAAGCAGTGGTTCTCAACCTTCCTAATGCCGCGATGTATTTTCATTATTAAAAAGGGGTCGCGACCCACAGGTTGAGAACTGCAGATCTAAAGGATATTAAAATCACAAACTGTCTTCCACACTGACTAGTACTCAAAAGTGAGAACCAATCTGCCACTCCAGCAGCTGACACAGTGCAGTGTCTAATTTCAGTTGAGTTCTCAACATTTCCCCAAAGTGGCCAAGCTTTGTCACAGCTTGTTAAAGAACAATGGCTTGTCATACGTGCTGTGACAACCAATGTCCCGTGTTTACTGGATAAGGCTTAAAACTTGCTAAGTCTTTACCCTTCGGCTTCCTGGAGCCTTAGATAAGGTTCTGAACCTTTTTGAGTCTCAAGCAGCGATGTTGCCATCTTGTTTCCTACACGTAACAGACAGTGGACTGACCTCTCCCTCAGGTCCCAGTAAACATCTCCCAATGTGCTACAGTAGAAAATGTCTACTTATAAATCCTGACATGTTAGATTTACCCTTGATTTACAGTATATGCAAAAACACCTGAAGTAACTACGCTAAATAATAAAACCTTTAAAGTAAAACACGAATGGTAATGTATTTGCTAATAATGTTGCTCACATTCTCAAGCAAGTATTTTTTGCTATTGCAAAGATCAACAATATTGGGAAAATGATGACAGCCTAACTGAAATTAAGACGAAAATGTTCTTGGTATAATTGGCCACTATTAAGAAGGTAAGGGTATTTCGAAGTTAATCTGTACATAATTCTATAAGGAATGAACATATTTAAGAAAGTGGCTTGGAAGAAGAAACCTTCTATTGCGTACTATACTATGAGCCAAGCATAATTCTTTCCTAATGTAATCTTTAGTTGGCTATCAAAGTATTAGCCCATTTTATGAGTAAGAAAAGTGAAAATTAAGGTCAAAAATCATGGGACCACTGGGAACTGAAGTCATGTTTGTGTTTCAGCAGATATGAAACATGACAGGCTTTAGGTGAATGCATTCAATATCACTACAAAGAAGACGATGAGAAAATTACGCCTGGAAAGGAACGGGGAACTTTTAAAACCTCAAAAGTCTACAGGTTCACATAGGACAGATGCTAATCCTGACCTCAGTTCTGTTTCCTAATGCATGACATGGACACACTTTGAGAAAGGTTTGGACTCAGCAGACGAAGAAATCCAACAGTAGAAAATTCTTTACCTGCATTACCCCACCCCGAGCTAACCAAGAGCATTTCAAAAATAATCTAAAAAGTAGCTATCAAACATACCAATCAATTCCTTACTGGTGAAATATATAAAAACTTCCAGGAGTCACAAAAATTCCAAACTATTTATAAAAATAAAAACATTTATCAACAACAAAAAAAGATCAGGCTTCAGTCTCATCAACGTCCTTATCTGGGTCTTGCTCAGCATCCTCCTTTTCCTGTTGTTGTTTCTTCCAAAGCTTGGCCATGGCCAGGAGCTTGAGGTTAGGTTGGTTGGCAGCATCTTCCGGAAAGATATAATCAAAGTATTCTTCCCAGCCTGCATCCGACTATAGAAATAAAATAATTAAAAGAAAGCAAACACATAGCTGAAATACTCACATTTCGCTTAATGTTTAGAACTTTTACCTGAATGCCAGACTTCAAATTCAACTTAACGTCATTTCACAAACAACATCAAAGTCTACTACAGAAAGAGCAAGAGTTGGGTCTGGAAGATTAGAAGTAAACAGGAAGCTGTGGGACTGGTTGGTGCTGCAACTGTAGCTCAGAGAACTGAAAACCTAGTAGAAAAATTCTAAAAATCCAGAAGCACAGCTCCTCCATAATCAACCAAGATACTCAGTGTCTCCAAATCTGTCATGAAGTTTTACGTTTAACGTTTAAAAATTAGAGATTTTTTTTTACTCGCTATTTACCCTGTAAGCAAAAGTCATACATCTGTGCATCATTATTCCAACTCCCTGCCCTCAGAGCCTCCCCTTGCTTCCCAACGACTGTCCTGAACAGGCTGTGCCTCTAGTTCCAGCTCCACCCGTCTCTTGCTTAGCTTACAGAAAGAACCTCCTGATGGTCTTATTCCTCCAACCTAAGCCCCTGGAGTCCACTTGTGTGATGCCAGCAATCTGGTCTTAGCATCTTATGGATAAAAGCCTTCTGGCATTCTCATCTAACTCCATCCTACCTCCTGCAAAGTCTTCTCTTGGTTCACGCCTATCTGAAAACTGACTTCCTGCTTAGTCTAGAAGCACACACTTCATGTAGTTCTTGGGTTCAACACCATGATCCCAGTGTCAACCAGTTCCCATTCTCTACTGGTTGGACCACACACTCTGTCCTATGTGCTCTATTATTAGTCAGATTTCAACCACCTCCAGCTCCAGGCTGTCCGCTGCTGTTGTTAAGACTACACATCTACTTAGAAGTGCAAGTTTCAAAGCCAATGCATTTCTACTCATGTGACACCAGACGAACAGCTCCAGGGACCCAGTTCTTACCCCATCATCAGCCTGGACCTTTCTTCTCTTCTTCACTTTCTCTGGCATGAGTTTGTCTACTCTCTCCTTATCTGATGCTGTTCCAAATTCTTCTTCAAAACTTCGCCAAGATTCCAGCAGCATAAGTCTCTCTTCCTTTTCTTCACAGTTTCTCAAAGTTTTGTTAGCTTCCTCATAAATCTGTCTGCATTTAGCCAAACTTCCTTCTTTCCCTGAAGACAACTCAAACTGAGCAAAACTGATCCACACCTTAAAAACAAGTTATTACAGAATGAACAGTGTCACCCAGAAGACAATAATGTAACACTACTACTAAAGCGAAGTGTTAATTAATGACTTCTGAAGGAATGTGTTCACCTCCAGTGTTAGACAGAATGTAAAACACTGAATATATGCTTCAATATAACACCGAAGCAATCTGATTCCATATCGAAAATCTTCAAAGAGTTTAACTTTTCCTTTTTCAATCTTGTGTTAACCAGGTTATTCACATAAAGTATAAAACACTGACCTGACCAATGAACTTAACATTCCAAACTCCTCTGAGACTCATGAGTTTTCTTTAAAAGAAAGTCTTAAAAAAGAAATATTTAAAATACAGAAATATAGTATTTTCTTCAGGACTGATGATTCAAGCAAAATCAAAGATTATACATGTATATAAAGCAGAGGATACCTTGACATGTTGTGTCCGCTGAAGCAATCGTCGATAAAGATTTCGTGTTCTTTCAGTTTCTTCCTGTTCAATTTCAAAATCAATGTATGATTTCCAAAGCACCTAAGAAAGATAACTTAATAGGTCAGTCTTGACACTTACAAAGCAGCATATCCCTATCTAAAGCACAGTGTAAGTATCATTCTAGCCTGTGTCCAAGAACACATGATTTTTACTGTACAATTAACACACTACATATGGACAGGATAAATAATATTAGCATTTATAAGCTGGTCAAAACTTAGCTAGAATTCTAGATTATAGGAATAGAGGGCTTGGATTCAGTTTTGGATTCTCTTTGAGAGTTTTTCAAATGCTTATCAAGATAAGTTGAGAAATTTTCCAAGAGATTCCCATAATAATCCGATCATGTGCAATTTAACTTCTGGGAAGAAGATAGGCCCAGATTAGCCAATAAGTAATTCCACTATGAATTCCATGTTCAAGTTTGAATTCAAGGCTGGGCTCATGCCTATAATCCCAGCACTTTGGGAGGTGGAGGCAGGAAACTTTCTTGAGCTTAGGAGTTCAAGACCAGCCTGAGCAAGAGTGAGACCCTATCTCTACTAAAATTATAAAAATTAGCTGGGTATTGTGGCAGGTGTCTGTAGTCCCAGCTACTCAGGATGCTAAGGCAGAAAGACTGCTTGAACCCAGGAGTTTGAGGTTGCTGTGAGCTAGGCTGAAGCCATGGCACTCTTGCCTGGGTGACAGAATGAGACTGTCTCAAAAAAAAACAACAACAAAGTTTGAGTTGAAGTAAATAAACATTCATAGAACAGGTGCCCACCAGCTAGGTACAGCATCAGGACCCAAATATAAACAAACTGTGGCCTGGACACTTAGAAGCTACATTCTGGTGAAGCAGCTGAGGCCAACTGACACATAAAACCCTGAGCTACTGCAGTCAGCAGGGCCCAAGCCATTAAACGCAGGGTCAAGTAGTGCGCAATTAATAAGATGACTGGGTGAGTTTTGTGGGTTGCGAGAGATTTAAGCTGGTCCCGGCTGTGATTTGGCGCCACCTTGTGGCTCCAGCTTTACTAATGGCAGCCCAGTACTACCAGGAATTCAGGATGCTGCCTAATTTCAGGAACATCCTGTTAGGTGGCGCCTCTTGGTTGGCCTGGAGGATGCAGA